GTGTGTGGTGGACAAACAAACTAATATATATATATATATATAGACATATATACATTATATATATATATATATATATATATATTATATATATATTATATATATTATATATATATTATATATATTATATTATATATATATAAATATATAAAGATATATATATAGAAATAAATATAGATATATGTATATATATATAAATATATATATATATATATGTGTGTGTGTGTGTGTGTGAAAATAACTTATTAAACGTTTCCCATTGTGTGTGGTATTAGTTAAATTTAATACGGGAATAGCACACGCTATGTAAGGATACTTACATACATAGTGTTGGACAAATATACATGATATATCCAATATATGTCCACTGATTTGCAAGATATCCTCCGTGCGATGTTTTCGACTCCTACGGCGTCTAATTTACAGATCTACGACATTTCTTGACCGAGACTTAAGGGTCGCTGGTACACAACCGCACAGAAAGACATCTAAATATTTCAGTATTCAATTATATTTCGTGAGAGAGTTTCTTCATGACCCTCTCAGATATATTCATATGGCTGAACGGACAAAGTGACAGTGTAACTATAACAAACCATAGTCGACTGATTTGGAATCAATTGGCTATGGATAAACAGAACATAAATCATTTACCGCCTCAAAAAGATGGAGAGGTTTTATTAAATATGTGACGTCGAGGGTTATGCGTAGTATTCTATTTTATTTGGTAGTATTTAAGCCCCGCCACCCCGGTCCCCGGATCAATATCATTAATTTATAGTCATAATCTGATATATCAACAGTGATCAGCACTCGCGGACGAGAGATTTGAAACCCAAGATCTTGGGTTACGAATTCCCATCCGCCAGTGAACAATCCTCGGGGGAAATCGTGGGGCAGAGAGAGGAACCAAGCATTTGCAAAAATAACAAAGTGAGCCGTGGAGCTAAAATACCCCAAAAGGCTTGTAATTTGGATGTATACTGTAATATATATATTTATATTTGTATATATGTATATTTGCTAGGCTTTGTTCATATACTGTGGCATGTTTATGGTTGTGTAACGAGATATAACAGATTGCAGAGTATAGATAGTATTTTTCTTTGAGAATGATTGGGCAACTAAGTCTATGTAGAAGCGCTCATGCTACGAATACATTACACCTCATCAAATATGGGCAACGATGCTTTCACGCACATACGTCAACCCCACTACGTTCACAAATACACTCCACAAAAATCATTTATGCCCAAAAAACAAGCATAAATAACCCTATATGTAGTCCTTTCGCAGTAGAAAGCAGTATGTCGAGGGTTAATTATAGCTCACATGTGGCGAGATACAGTTCGTATAGCCCAGGTCAAGGCCCCGACGATCCCACTAATAAAGCCACGGGCGCATCCGACCAGCCTGTGCGAAGACTTACGATTGCCGATCTACACAAGTTATATCTGGATAACACAAAGATATCTATGCTAACAGCATATGATGCTATGTCAGGAACCTGGTGCGATAGGGTAAGATATCCAATAGGCGTGATTGTTGTTAATTAATGTGGTATCTATACGCATGTCGTTAGTACAGTTAGCTAGGAGCGTGAATCAACGCGCACATACATGCATGTACCTGTTTACCGTGTTCTCAAATACAATCAGCCAGCCCGTGCGTGGATTTACGAACGATAGTCTACACAAGGCGTGTGTATATAATGCATCGTCAGCATAGTGTGCGCACTGCCATTTACAGTTTCTGGTTTTTATTTTTCAGATTGATTCGGTATATATGATATATATAAATGAATCTATATATATATATATATATATATATATATATATATATATATATATATA